ACTTTATTATCGCTTTCTGGCCCACGTGTGATAACGTCCTATGACTTGGCCAAGGTTGCCCAGTGGGTTTACATGGCCAAGCTGGGAATCGAACCCTGGTCTCCAGAGTCATAGTCCAACGCTCAAATCACTCTGTCACATTGGCTCATAAATGATCACATATATAGCTATAGTGTAAGAGTCCTTTTCCTGGGATCCAGGGGATCCCAGGCCTATTGACCTAACCAGTAGGCTCCATTTCTTTCACTGGGGCAGATTTGTGTAGTTTGTTGACCCATAAGTTGTGCAGGAAAGGACTGGCTCTTTCTCCTGTGCTGGCTCGGGTGTTCTGTTTTTCTATTTTGTTGTCATTTTCTTTTTCTAAAAAAATAAAAATAAAATAAGCAAAGGCTTGACAGACATGAATTCAGCAGGTGAAGCCTCCTTCAAAGAGGAAAGGGGGAAAGCTGCACCTTCAAAACTTTCCATCTGCCATTCCGCGGTTCAAGGAAGCAGTCCTAAGAGCAGCAAGGTAAGGAAGTCATAGAAAGAACCCAGAAACTCAGGTCTGTGAGGCCAACCCCATATGCCTATCCTGATGGAATTTGGTTCCTTCTCTCTTTCTTTTCCACTTCATTTCTCATCACCTTATCAAACAAGGGGATATGGGGCAGAGAGATGTTATCATCCCCCTCCTGACCTGACAATCTCACCTCCAGTTATCTAAGAGGGAAATAGAAATACCTTCTCCACCCAGCTCTCCCTTCCCATTTTTGAGAAAGCATTGCTTGCAACACTGCTAGGTGCTCAGTGGTGCGAAAGCTCTGTTCATAATAATAATAATAATAATAATAATAATAATAATAATAATACGATTTATTTATATACCGCCCCTCTGGGGAGCCAATCGAGGCGGTGTACAACAGTAAACCAACCACACAGTAGGGTGGCTGGGTCTGAAAGGGGCATTTCAACAGGTGTATCATGAACTTACTAGAAAAGACAATAATGCTAGGGAAGGTAGAAGGTAAGAGAAAGAGAGGAAGACCCCACGGCAGATGGATAGACTCAATCAGAGAGGTCACAGGCATGAATTTGCAGGACCTGAGTAGAGCAGTGGAAAATAGGGGCTTGGAGATGTCTCATGCACAGGGTCACCATGAGTTGGGGCTGACTAGAGGAAAGTTAACAACAACAACAACAACAACAACAACAACAACAACAACAACAACAACAACAACAACAGCTTGTCCTCTATATGACTATTACAGGTGCAGGGCTCTTTCCAGTTTTCACTCAGGCAACCCTTTGCCTTGAGGACCATAGAATCCTAAAAGTTGGAAGGGACCTCATAGATTACCTCATCCACTCCCCTGCTCACTCCGGACCAAAGAGGATGCTTCAGGCCCTGAGATCAGGAAATTATATTGGGGAGGTAAGTGTGTTTGTGTGCATGTATTCTGAAATGGGGAAGTCACACTCTCTCAGCCTCAGAGGAGGGCAATGGCAAACCCGCTCTGAAGAAACTTGCCAAGAAAACCCCATGATAGGTTTGCCTTAGGCTTTCCACTTGAAGGCACGTAAGAGCAACAAAAATTCTGAAGTGGTCTCTCAGTACAAAGGAAACAACTCTATGAGGTTCTACAAATTTGTTCAGTATTACACCCCACAGGAATTGAGGGTGCCCCTTTTGAACATGTTCCTTTGCCACACACTGGTAAGCCTCTGTGGGCCGGTACTAGGGAAATGGGTGAACACTCATTGATGACAAATCGCTCCTAAATCTCGGCCATCACCTTCCTCCCCCCTTTTTTTCTTCCGTATCTCTACAGTTCCACCCCTCAGACCCTTTTATGGTCTTGTTAGAAGCTAGGAGGAGGCCAGAATAGCTGAGCAGGCAGCTTGCCAGGTTGTGTATGTGTGCACAGCATTCCCACTTTATCTGAAGGACCACAAATTATGCAGCCCATGCTCTTGGCCAAGTGACAGAAGGAAAGCAATTCAGAAAATTGAGCTGCAAGCCAGCCTTCTTTCTCCCTCACTCTTAACTCTTGGTATGCCAGAGGTCTCCTGTCCTGATGCATTTCAGTTCAGAGGAGGAAACCCTGTGTACCACCACTACTATTCCCATAATATCTCACCATTGGCCAGGCTGGTTGGATCTGATGGGAAATGGAGTCCCATAACACATTAGGGCAACAGGTTCCCTAGCCCTTTGTGAGATATTTTAAACATGCACCATTCCGTCACAAACCTTTCCCTTCCAGAAGTGAGATGAGACAGGCAGGTGATGCTGGAACAGGAGTGATAGGGATAGAGGGACTTCTCTAGATCCTAGCCTGATCTGGTCTTATCTGGCCATGTGGGGAAGCAAATATCTTTAAAATGGAGGCCTAGCCTGGTAGATGTAACACCTCATCCACTGAAGGACATGGGCTGTAGGTCACAAAAGCTTGTGCCACAATAAATTCTTAAAGGTATCTATTTTATTCAGCCTAGACAATGAGGAAATTGAAATAGTAAAATAGTTCCCGTACCTTGGATGAAACATTGATCATAGTGGAGACTGCAGTCAAGAAATCAGAAGAAGGGGAAGAATGGGAAGGGCAGCCATGAAAGAGCTAGAAATGCTCCTAAAGAGCAAAGATATACCACTAAAGTTAGCATTGCCCAGGTCATTGTATTCCCCATTACCATGTACGGATGCGAGAACTGAACAGTGAAGAAAGTAGATACGAAGAAAGTCAACTCATTTGAGATGTGGTGCTGGAGAAGACTGCTAAGAATACTGTGGACAGTCAAAAAGACAAACAAATGGGTCCTTGAACAGACCAAGCCTGAAATCTCCCTGGAAGCCAAGATGATCAAATTGAAGCTGACATACTTTGGTCACATTTAATTAGAAAAGACAATAATGGTAAGAAAGAAGGAATGAAATAGAAAAATAGGAAGAATGCAAGCTAGATGGATAGACTCAGTTAACGAGGTCACAAGTATGAATTTGTAGGATCAAAGCAAAGCACTGGAGGACAGGGGGTCACTGTCTTGGAAATGCCTCATCCACAGGGGCGCCATGAGTTGGGGTTGACTTGAGAACAGTTAACAACAATGACAACAGCAGCAGCAGCAGCAAAAACAACAACAAAGACACCACAACACCAGGATGCTTTTACTTCAAGTGGGTGAAGTGTGCCCCTCCAGCTGTTCTTGGGCTAGTTCCTCACCATGCATCACTACCATTGTTATGCTTGCTAGGATTTATTTTTGTGACAGCAGGACTTCACAGAAAAAGAGGGTTGTTTTCCTCCACTAGGTGGAAGCAGTGACTCTCCACATCTAAATCTGATCTGAAGGGATTGGAGGATTGGACCTTTTTTCTCAACAAAATGGAATTTCCATCTATTGCTAGGAAACCATGGTAATGAAAACTAATAGCATATGCCAGGATGGGAGTCATGCAGTTTGCCAAACATTGATGGATTGCAACTCCCAGCATCACCTATCATTGGCTGTGTTGTCTGGAGCTGGTAGGAGCTGCAGTCCAACTACATCTGGAATACCACACCATTCCCACCTGTCTGATAGTGGTCCATCCATCCAGTCATCCAATTTATTTTTCACTTCTTGTCCAACTGGGGCTCCCAAGGTGATGCACAATTGATTTATAAACATGAAATAAATAACTAAAACCCCATTAAAAACAATGTAAGCTTCTTTTTAACAATAATTCTAAAATCAAACAGTTTTAAAATCAGCAAGAACAGGCACCCCCCCAGTTTTAAGATTCAAAGGCCATGTGAAACACCACAGGACGTTTTCACACGGGGCTTTAGGAGGACGCTAGCCAGCCTCCCTCCGGCCCCACTCCGGCTCCACTGTCAAATTTTTCACACGACGTCGCAGGAAGCCCCGCCCCATCCAGCGCCATCCCTGGCGCTATCCGGCGTCCCTCCGGGGTCTTGCTGCGCATGTTCATACGACGTCGCAGCAAGCCCCGCCCCATTCAGCGCCATCCCTGCGCCATCCCTGGCGCTGGCCGGCTTTAGCCCCGTTTTTCTAATTCCTTTTTTAAAAAGGAATTACGGGGCTGCTGCCGGAAGCAATCAGGAGCCACTCCGGCGGCTGCTGTTTTCACCGCCGGAATGGCTCTTCTTTGCTTCCAGGCAGCTTCCAGCCGGCTTTAGAGCCGTGTGTATGAAAACGTCCCTAGTCTTAAATGCCTGCTTACACAGAGTATACATAGATGCTAATGATATTTATATCTCAGTGGTTCCTCTCCCATTTTGTCCTCATAACAACCCTGTGAAGTAGGTTACACTGACAGTGACTGAACCAAGATCACTCTGAAGTATCTGGCTAAGAGAGGCTTAAATTTGAATTTCTCCACTTCTAGTCCAACATTCAAGCCATTACCCCATAGTGCTATATGGTTTATCAGTTTTTGTTATTGTTGTGTGCCTAAGTTTCCGACTCATGGTGACCCTAAGGCTGTGGGTTTTTCTTAGTGAGATTTGTTCAGAGGAGGTTTGCCATTGCATTTCCCTGAGGCTGAGCAGTAGTATAAGTTAAATGAATTTAAGATTTAGCTGGTATAAGGTTTAACTGCAACATGAAAGTGCAACTTCAGGGAAGACAACTTCTCTCCAACTCTTTTGAGCTTCCAGCGGGTAATGAAAACAATGCTATTCTGCATGGCTTTGAATGTTTGAAATTTCTCTGTTTTAACTGTATTAAAATTATATTTAGGGCCAATACGGATGGCCTGAAAGGGGCAGCACAGAGCCGCCCCTGGAAGTGGTGGATTGGAGCCGCGGCAACCACATACTGTGGCCCTAATCCTCCTTTTGGCTGCTCCCAAAAGAGCGGCAAAATAATGCTCCTTTTGGGGGTGGCAAAAGGCTGCCTTTTCAGCTGCTGTGGTGGCTTTTTTTGCGCCATTTTTGTGCAGCGTGTGCACATGCTGCACCAAGACGGCATCATGACGCTGCATGCCATACAGACAGGCACGCAGTGTCAGGACGGGGTTGGGGTGAAGTTGGGGCAGCCGGCATGCGGCTACTCCACCCCAACTCCACCCGATGCCAGACCTTTAGGCTGGTCTGCATCCCCCCTTAGAATGCTTTAAAAAGTTTTTTTTTAAAGTATTCTAATGTCTTTTAAAATGTT